TGTGGGTGGGGTTATTAGGGGTTCTGGATCCCAAAAAAAAAAAAAAAAAAAAGTGCGGGGTGCCGATGACCCCCGACTGCCAGGTGTCGACCAGCCGATCGGTCGGCGGGTCGGCAGCCGACCAGTCAAGGGCCGCCGACCGTCGGGGTGTGCAACCCTGTTGCAATACATATATATGTATTTATGGATATCAACATGGAGAACCGCCCAGTGAATTATAGGCAGAGAGGGAGAAGAGGACAACAAACGAGGAGCTGTGACAAACTGTTTTGTCAGAGTTTCACCGACTCAACACAAGGCTGAACCCTCTACAGTCTGCAGGATCCCCTAACCCATGATACCGTATGTGAGAATCCACCTTAACCCCGGTTGTGGTTAAGCATCAACGACTGTATACATTACTGTTCTTTCGCCCGCGCCCAGGTACCCATGGCGTGAGACCACCCTGGTGTGAGAATATTCATTCGCTTCAAGTTCTTAACATTTCAGTTTGTTAGCTCTCAAGTTTGTTGTGATTGACATTTGCTTCACACGTTTCTGTTTGTTAACCTCTTGTTGCAGTGGAACCTTAAGGATCTCTAGGCAGTAGTTTTACTCTTAGGTCTGGTTTTCCTTTCTCCTTTCTTGATTCTTTGGCTCTTATGCCTTGTTGGATGCGTTGGTTTAGAGCAGAGCTGGGACAATCAATTCAGTGGCCTAGCTCAGTTGGTAAGGCACGCGAGTGGCATTCAGGTGGTCTTGGGTTCAATTCCAATTGGCCTCATGTACTTTCCTGGGCAAGCTTGGGGCCCACCACCTAGAAATAGCCAGTTGGTCCCCCCGAGCAGCATTGAGCAGAGACTACTGATGTTCGTTGGGGGAGGGGACCCGAGAAGCTCGATCCTGATACTACCGGCTGACCCCTGGCCAGTATTGCCCACCTGCTGTAGTGGGTATCGCACCTGCTGGTGAGTGCAGCTCCCCATCTTCCCTCGTTGGACCGCATGTCCCCTCATTGGAGGCTCAAGCACGGATGTGGCTGCTACAGGGTTCCCTGTAATAATACTATATTGACAATTTTAAAAAAGGCCTGAAAGGCCGTCCTATCCAGATTCAACAGGTAATTGAATTGGTTAGGCTTAAGCGAATTAGCCTTAAGAAAAGGGGGGGAAGAGCTGGGACAACCAGGACAGCAGTCTAGATTCGGCCATTTCTGTTCCTGGATTTCTGTCTCAGGCTCTGCACCGAAGCTGGATAATGGTCCCAGTATTTCCAGGTTGTGTGTTGAGAAATTCCCGGCCTCAACCTTTTCCCAAGTACTAAAGTGATACCTGGTTTATATAAACGAAAAAAAATATTCCTAACTTTCCTATTGCAATTTTTAATTTTCATAATAACAAGTAAAGCCAGTGCAGCTACCGGCGGACACATGGAAAATATTAATGAGATATCCGGCGTCTACATAAGTTTCAGGGTTGTCACCCAGGGATCCCCGGGTGCCAAGCCAGGATGTAGGTTTGACCCCCTGCCGGGCATGGGATCCCTG